GGGGAGCATCTGCCTGGAGATTAAAATGAGACTTGTTGGCGAGACAGAACTGTATGCCTTTGCCTTCCCGAGATCCTCATAGATCCTTATAGATTGATTCTGCAGCTTGATTTCCGGTGAAAGAGTCGTGCCCAGCCACACCCTAGCAAATACCGTGGATTAGACACCACCTGCATTTCTGAGACTAAGAGTTCCGGTTATCCTCGCACTGTCCCTGCCTCTTAACATTATTTTATGTTTTTTTCTAAATGAACGATACTTCTCTGCGTCAAGGTCACATAGTGGTACAGCTACAGCTGGCGGCCCCCAGCCTGCTATGTTCATCCAGTGTACATCCTCCGGAGACCTGGGAGGATCCGCCTTAGACATAAAGATTCTGCAACTCTAGGATTGGGACTCAGAAATGCACCTTAACCAGTGCTCATGGCAATTTTTAGCGGGCTGAAGCTTGACAATTACTGGCCTGAATTATGGCTCCTTTGTCCTTTTGCTGGACTTGTGAGATTTCTTAGAAATCTACAAATGGAGAGACTCCCTAAAATTTCAGAATCATTTGAAAACCTTTTCAGGCTTTTGATATTAATATCATATGAAATGCATTGTTGAGGTCAATATTTAGAAGTATCCAGCTAAGAAAGACAGTTGAAGAGGTATCTTTCCTGTACTATTCTTGTTACACCTTGCCTTAAGTGTGTTTGAAAAACACCACTACCACTCATTTGTTGATTCATTGGTGATCCCGATTTGAGCACTGGCATGCTGTCACAGGCTAGATAGTCTTAAACCAGGGACAATCTAGGTCTGGGATCTGAAGTCTTTGTAATTTAGGGGGACCTCTTTAAGGACACAAATGTAAAATCTATTAATTTTGCAGGTTTTACAGAAACAACGGAATCCATTTCCTCTGAAGGAGTTCTGAGCTTAAATTTCTTTGGGATAAGAGAGTCACTTCTGTCCACACAAGTCACACTTGAGTGAGCCTCTTCTCCCCAGTAACAGAGTAGTACTGGGATTGTTCAGGCTGAGGCCTCTCTGGACATTTTAGTGAGGTCCTCGTTCACCTTGTGAGTGGGGCTTGAAGACCTCAGTGTTAGGAGCCGTTTGGGAATAAAGGAGTTGGTCTTGAATAAAGGTGAATTGAGGTTAAGGAAAAATGACTACAAAGGACATTCTGGAGCTCTGGGAAATCTGAGGCAACGTGAAATGGAAAGTAAGGAAAGGATTGAGAGATGTAACCAGAATGAAATAAACTATTTGGGGAGAGAAAAAGATTGGTTTTCTGCTTTTCGTAAGCAGTCTCGAATAATGCTTTCCTGCAGCTAGCTAGAAACTTGTGTTCACAGCTTTTCTCTGAGACTTTTAAGGTAGCATTTTGCAAACTCATGGACCCTTCCATGTGTTGGGAATCTGTAATAGCTGTGTCTTAAATGATTGATGAGTTGGATAAGCCATCCAGCATTTAAAAATCAATCCCAGCTCTCATTATGTCATCTGAGAATTGTGATAAACCATTCCCTCAAGGTAACTCCTTTTAAAAAATCCAAGTTTTTTTTTTTGTCATCTAAATTAATGGAATATATTCTTTGGAAAGGACTTGGCAAGGGTCAGTGGAAGACCATTTCTTATGTTTTATCTTTTGATATTTGTGCGTTAAATACTTAATGTTATTGGGAAAAGACTCAGTCCCATTTTATTAATATTGTAGACCTAAAGTAGAGCTTCTGGAAAAAGAGAATTCTAGTAACCCTCTGGATTTATGTGGGATTTCTTCGGGTGGTGGAAGGGCAGGTAAGTAGACTGCTCGCGGGTAGACCCTGAGTGAGGAGATGAGTTCTGATGCCACCACTCTTGTAATTTTGAAACCTAACATCACTTTGCTTCAAGTCCTTTGAAATGTAAAACTAGTAATGTTGGTATTAATATCAAGTCAGTTTTCAGTCTTCATTCTAACTTGTTTTCTGTTTTCTTTATAATTTAAATGGTCACCTAATAATGCCTGTCTGTAATCATTGATGTTCCTTGTGCTACCAGCGTCACCTGGAGGATGGTGTCGGTAAGCTTTAAGAAAAATCATGCTTTAAGAAAAGCTTTAAGAAAAATATTGGAAACAGTGGTGTTGCCTCAAATCAAGGCAGTTCCCTGCCTCACCCCAATATGTGAAGAGGCAAGAAATGCTTCTGAAGTAAAGGAGCATCTTCAAGATCTCCTCATCTCATACATACCTAGCAGCTCACAAAGAATGCAACAGTGGGAAGAAGCATTGTGAAACATTGTAGAACCCAGGTCCTTTCCAGGCGGGGGTTGGAATGACCTTACAGAAATCGTAACCTCTGAAAAATAGGTATTATAAAATCTTAAGAGAAAGTAAAATAAACCTATAAAGGAGGATAAAAAATGTCAGTGCATTAGACTGAATGATTTAAGGAAAGAGGGTAAATAACCAGATTTCTGGTGAGTACTCATGGATAGACGTGATTCATTCATGTCTCTTATTGCTGTAAGTCATCTATTTTATATTAAAACATAGAAGTAGTAATTGTGAATTTAAAAAACATCAAAATATTTGGGATAGCATGGTGTGTTTTAACATTTTTACATAGTTGATTACAAGGTTGACAAAGGACAGAGAAAGTCTGAAGGACTTGAAGAATATCTATAAAAATCTTAAGTGTAGGAAACAAAGCTGCAGCTTAAAGAAACAGTCTGAGAGGAAGAGGCACTTGGCCCAACCAGGGGCAAAAGGCTCTTATTCCAACAGCTGTGAGATTATGGGAAGTGGAGGAATGAGCAGGTGGTATATAAAAGGAGAGCTCGGCTGAGTGGCTCAGGGTGAGACATAATGCTGTGTTGCAGGTATTAAAACTAAAGATGATTTTGAGGTATACCAAAATTGTGGTTAGTGTGAAATCTTAAAGCCACATCAGTGCTGTAGTTTGAAATATGAAATAAACTAGAGAGTCCTCTTTCCCACTAAGTGCTCATTTGTAATGTAATTATTGCTTTGCCATATTTTGGTTGAGGAAGAAGAGAAGGTTCTGGATTCTTGCAGTAGCCTGAATTAAAAGGATTTCAGATGGTGAACAGTTCACAGAGCTTTGTCTGGAATTTCATATTAGTATTAGAATGCAGTGTCACGCTTCCAGAAATATGGTTTAGGAGGAGGTACCCCAAATGTGTTTTCTGTGTTGCAATTCACCAAGTTTATGGAACTTACCCATTTTACTAATTAGGCATTCAGTAAATGGTTAGCTGTTACTCCCATGTGTACATTTTCATTTCATTTTCATAACAACTCCAGATGGATTAACTCTGGATAGTTGTTAACTCCATTTTACAAAGGGATTTAAAGAGGTTAATTTTTTCGAGGTCAAGTTGTAAAGCCAAGAATTGAACTCTGGAAAGTAGAACTGTAACTTTAACCACTGTATAATAATGGCCCAGGGATAATATTTCTAGTATACATTCTGGTATACTAGTCATCATTGGTGACTGACTTCTAGGCCCTTTACACAAGTGGGTTTAGTGAACAAATAATTTCACCTATCAGATGTAAGCCATTTTTGCCAAGTTTGATTAAAAACAATCTACTGCTTATGGGTCTTAGGTATAGCAGGGGAACGTAAAAGGCAAACTCACACATCTGGATTTTGCTTGTTCTGAAGACCAGGAGGGGTTTTTAGTGTAAGAAACAAAGTTTTAATTGAATTTGAATTCCTGCTATGAATTAAGAAGTGCAGGACTCTATGTTAAATTATACTTGTGGTATTTTAAGAAATTGTTTCATATCCTTGGTACCAGTTGTTTCTCCACATGGCTTTTAGTATATTTTATAAGCCTATAGGCCCTAAAATTTCATTGTCTAGGTTATTGGTAAAATTCCTCTTAGTGTCCTGGTTGAGGCCACCCATCTTCTGCCCCATGGTTTGGGTGCTCTTCCCACTCCTGGCTGCAGCGGCTTTCCCCTGTGGTGGTGGGTGTTGGCACTTCCCTGCGATCGGAACTTGGCACAGCTTCTGAAGCTTTCAGCACTGGTGCCTCCAGGGATAGTAGCATGCAGTAACCATTCAGATGGGTTGTATTTAATCCTTGCCAATCCCGACAAAAATGTTCAGTTATGTCAAGAGCAAGAAAAAGGCAGTCTCTCCATGATACAAAGGTAGCTATTTTGACTAATTTAAGCTTCAAGTGGATATTAACTACCTGAACTCATCTGCTCTGAGCTTGAAGTTTAGCTTCTCTTTGGCTTTCTAGGACTGCAGCCTTGCCCTGGTGAGGACAGGGAGTGGTCTTTCCAGGCCTGGGCAAGTGGTGACAGGTGGGTGCTTTATCAGCTTGGGACCAGCCAGATCCTCACTTTGAGAACAGTAACTTGGGGAAGAGTCAGCCAAAAAAACTTTCATTCCTCTGGCTCATCTTTTTTTTCTTTTTCTTTTCTTTTTTTAAAATACAAGGTTCTGCCACAGAAGCTTAAAGATTTTATGATGTGGTTATTTTTTTTTCTTTTTTATTTTTTTTTTAACGTTTATTTATTTTTGAGACAGAGAGAGACAGAGCATGAACGGGGGAGGGGCAGAGAGAGAGGGAGACACAGAATCAGAAGCAGGCTCCAGGCTCTGAGCCATCAGCCCAGAGCCCGACGCAGGGCTCGAACTCACGGACCACGATATTGTGACCCAGGCTGAAGTCGGACGCTTAACCGACTGAGCCACCCAGGCGCCCCAAGATGATGTGGTTATTTTTACTTAATTATACATGAGAGTCGTTTTTTCCTGTTGTAAACTCTTATATCAAAAGCAAGCTTGTTGGTAGCAAGTGGGTGTGGGTAACTATAAAAGATGGGATAGTAGTGTGTGCATGTAGCTCTGAAGGATGGGAGTGCCCTTCAGGAGAAATAACGTTTACCCTGACTTCGGCAATGTGGCCTGGCAGTCCATGGGGTGGCATTTTTTGTTTGCTCAGTATTACTTTTGAGGTTGGATGTTTCCCAGATTAAGAACTTTAAGTTTTCCCAAATAGTCCCTGTGCTATTTTTGGCAGTGGATCTATTTTTACTCACAAACACATAGTTTATTGCCTGGTGAGTTAGTGGGAGGAGGCCCTTAGGAATTTTTGAGTAAGCGAATGGTGTCATAGGAAGATAAATGAGTTAGTAGCCTGCCGGCTTATTTGTAACTTCTAGTACCGCTGTGTAGTCCCAGAGCGGAGAAAATGGGGTGGAAGTGAGTGCCCTGGGCTGGGGTTGGCACAGCCATGGCAGTATGGTAAGGCCGTCAGTCAAATGGCTGGCCTGGAGTCCAATCCTTAAGGGAGATGGAGACATGGGCCTTTATAATAAATGGGAATGGTCCACCAATTTAAGGTTTTCAGAAAGAGTGTAAGTAGGATTAAGTGGAGTGGGAGGTGGACAGAACAGGAAGGCAGAGAGGCTGTGTGCAGAGTTGAGGAGCCCCTTAGATGTGGTGCAGCCACATGAAGACTTAGTGTCTGGAATGGCTACCCTGAAGGCAGCTGATGTGTGGCAGAAATGAGGGTGTGTTGAAACTGGCTGGAGTAGAAAGCAGGTTGAGAACCATTGTGCAGGTCTCTCTATCTTGAAAATTCTGTGTCTTTGCTTCATGTTCCCAGTTAGAAGCCATTTGGAAACTTATAATTGTAGAGCTGCACTAAATCATCTGCATAGAATATGCATGCAGATGACCATCTGGCTGTGGTTGGGACTAGTAGCTGTTTCCCTTTCCATTATACTACATTGCCTCCCAGTGTCTGCTTCTCTTAGCATATCACCAGACTTGCCTTAGCTCTCCTGCCTCCAGTAGTCTAGAATTTAAAATGTTGGGAACTGGTGCTAACATTTACGAAGGTTATTTGCAGTGTGTGTCACCAAACAAGACTGGCTGTAAATCCTGTGTATTTTAATAGGCCATTTGATTGCATTTTGCTCTATCATTTTCCAATGTGGGGAAAGCTCAGTTTCCTTTAGTTATCCAATCAAGTAATAAAATGATCTTCCTTCCATAAGTTTCCCTTTCGTAACTGAGTTGTAACTCAGGAGCATAAAAAAATACTATATTTAAACATATCCAGTTATTTCCTAGTTAGGCCCTGGCTGGGGTTCTAAGAACAATGCTTGCTTAGCTGTTAGTCACACTCAGCTGATGCTGATAGTGATTCATTCAGACTGGCAGGAAACCAGATGATTGTTATATAAACACTAATAATCCTAGTAAATGATTTTGCTTGTGAAGGTGTGATAAATATTGCCCAGTAGCCTTTTTGGGCAGTTTATTCCTGATGGAGAAGAGCTGCATGCATTCCAGAAACCTGTGGATACACCCAAATTTCTTTTAAACTAATATTATCAACCTTGTGCCTTTCCACACCTCTTATAGTTGCTCAGGAAAAATGGAATCCTAGAATATTAGAGCTGAAGAGGTCCTTGGAAATCGTTTAGGCTGATGCCCCTTGTTTTACTTTTGATTCCCAGACAAGGTCACACAGCTAGCTCAGGCTAAACTCCAGATGTCTTATGGTGGTTTTGTTTTTTAGTAATGATACTGTCCATTGTACAAACACCGTGTGTGATATATAAACATATTTCACATGCACTCAGTTTTAACGATACATTCTGGAGAGTTAACTTGGGTCTTTGTGGCAGTCTTAATAAGCATCTTTATTAGCCACAGGGTGAAGTATATAGTGACTCTTTGGATATTGTTGCATCTTATTTTATTTAAAAATTTTTTTGGATATCGTTTGCATTTTTTTTTATTTATATATGAAATTTATTGTCAAATTGGTTTCCATACAACACCCAGTGCTCATCCCAAAAGGTGCCCTCCTCAATACCCATCACACACCCTCTCCTCCCTCCCACCCCCCATCAACCCTTAGTTTGTTCTCAGTTCTCAACAGTCTCTTATGCTTTGGCTCTCTCCCATATCGTTTGCATTTTAATGTCAAGTGCCTTAGATTTACTTCAGGATCTAAGGAGCTCAAATTCTGTGCTTACCTCATATTTGTTTCACTGAATATTGCCCTGAAAAAGTGAGTCATTCAAGAAGATTCAGACATTCTGAGATTTTTCAGAGGATTCAAGATGGAATTTTGATTTATAAGGGTTGCTTCCTTTAAAGACTAAATTAACAAATATAAAGTCTCTTTATATTTCTAATGAACTAATGTATGTGTTTAAAGGAACTCACTGGAGGAGAAAACTGGTGGGGTTACAGGTCTTCAAATGGATTCGAAGGGAGTATGGATTTTGGATTAGTAGAGAGAAGATTGCCCTGGACTGAGGCGGATCATTGAGAAAAGTGTGGAGACCACTCATGTCTGTGAGGAGGAATGAGGAGCCTGGTTTGCAGGCAGCCATCCTACTGAAGGGCAGAGGCAGCCTGTAACCAAAGACCACAGTGAAGAAAAAAGTGGAGTTGGGTTGATTAAGTAGTCAGAGGAGGAGAGACAATCTCCGGCTGGGGGTCTGTAGCAAAAGAGTATGGGTAATGGGGACGGGAATGGGAAATTAGAAGACAGAGTTGGTATTTTTATCTTGTCCAGGGTATGTTGGTGGGGAGGAGTTGCTGGTAGACAATGAAGAACTTGGCACAAGTTTTCTAATTTTACACATAATGATTATATTTGTGCTTACGTTCTTGAGTTAATGTTTTGGTTCTTTTTTAGAATTTCTGGTTCTCCACTGCTGAGTCTGTTCAATCTGTGTTAAAGCCTGTCTGTTTTAATATGCTGTTAATAACTTTCTCCTTTGCACCTGGCCTTTCCCCCTTTCCCCTCACTTACAGGAGTTCTCTCCTTATGGTTTAAGTAATATTTTTCTTTGCTTAGTGTTTTATGGTTTCCTAAGTGTTTTTCCTTTTTTCTGAAAATTAAAGACTTTTACCAGTAAGTCATATAATTAAGGAATCCCCCTACTTTTTAAAAGAGGCTGATTTAGCAAATTAGCAGCTTTGGGGGACCCAGACCAAAGTTTTCTGATTCCACATCTGTATTAGTTTCCTTGGGCTGCCAAACAAAGTACCACAAACTGGGTAGCTTAAAACAAATTATTTTGTTGCAGTTGGGAAGGTTAGAAGTCCAAGATTAAGGTGTCAGCAGGGCTGTGCTCCTGAAGGCTCTGGGGAAAAATCCTTCCTAGCCTCTTTTTTAACTTTTGGTGTGTCTTGGCAATCCTTGGCCTTCCTTGGCTTGTAGACACATCACTCCAGTCTCTGCCTCCATCATCACATGGTGTTCTCCATAGGTCTCTCCAAATCTCCCATTCCTTTTAAGGGCACCAGTCATTGGATTTGGGATCCACCCTAATACAGAATGATCTTATCTTGACTTGATTACATCTGTAGAGGTTCTGTTTCCCAATAAGGTCACATTCATAGGTACCAGAGTTTAGGACTTCAACATAACTTAAGGGGACACAATTCAACAACACAAAAATCTGGTGCTCTTTCTACTAACTACATAAGCTGGCTTGCTTAGAGTTGGCATCATGGAGAACTACCTAAAGAAAGCTACAGCTTGTGAAGTTTAACATTTCCACTTAAAATCATTGGTGCTTCCATCCTCGATGGCCAGTCAGGGTTTCCTGTCAGGTAAGTCAAAGTAGAGCTTACTGCTGAGTAACTGTGTTTCCTTTTAGCAGAGGCTGGGGCACATTACTGTCACTCATGCATCCATTTGGATTGGGGGAGGTCTGGGTGTACCAGTGGGATTCTCTGTGTAACCACTCAGGGCAAAACTCTGGCCACTTGATCTGTGTTTGATCTCATAGGTGAAGCTCTTACCTATTAATATGTGTTTGAGGGAGGTGTGATTGGTTCTTTTTAGAATATACAATTGGAAGCAGAATCTGGAATGTACTTCCAGTCTATAATCCTTGAACATTTGGCAAAGGAGTTGTTTGATCTCATTGTTGACAATACTTTTTGCAGAATAGCTGAACCTCAGGACTTTTTCATCCACCACTGTGTACCACCACAGTCTTTCCATGATTACCTTTATCCCTATATCTCTACCAAGACTAAGGCAACATCTTAAATATGAATTTCTCATATCCCTTATCACTGAATATTTTATTTCAAGTATTCTGTTTATACTAGTGTGGCTTGTCCATGATCCTGTTTTTGAGAAAGTGTTGATTAGATTCAAAGGAAGATTTCTAATATTTTTGGATTCAGATCTCAGTGTTTATCTTTTTGGGATTTTTTTGCAGGTGACAGAGCTCAATGAACCTCTCTCCAATGAAGATCGAAACCTCCTCTCTGTGGCCTACAAGAATGTGGTTGGTGCCAGGCGATCTTCCTGGAGGGTCATCAGCAGCATTGAGCAGAAAACCATGGCTGATGGAAATGAAAAGAAATTGGAGAAGGTTAAAGCTTACCGGGAGAAGATTGAGAAGGAGCTGGAAACAGTGTGCAATGATGTCCTGGCTCTGCTTGACAAGTTCCTCATCAAGAACTGCAATGATTTCCAGTATGAAAGCAAGGTATTTTACCTGAAAATGAAAGGTGATTACTACCGCTACTTGGCAGAGGTAGCTTCCGGAGAGAAGAAAAACAGTGTGGTCGAAGCTTCTGAGGCTGCCTACAAGGAAGCCTTTGAAATCAGCAAAGAGCACATGCAGCCAACGCACCCCATCCGGCTGGGTCTGGCCCTCAACTTCTCTGTGTTCTACTATGAGATCCAGAATGCACCTGAGCAGGCCTGCCTCTTAGCCAAACAAGCCTTTGATGATGCCATAGCTGAGCTGGACACACTAAACGAGGATTCCTATAAGGACTCCACGCTCATCATGCAGTTGCTGCGAGACAACCTCACCCTCTGGACGAGCGACCAGCAGGATGAAGAAGCAGGAGAAGGCAACTGAAGAGCCTTTGGGTCCCTGGCCCTTCCTTCACCCACCACCCCCATCATCACTGATTCTTCCTTGCCACAATCACTAAATATCTAGTGCTAAACCTATCTGTATTGGCAGCACAGCTACTAAGATCTGCTCTCCTGCCCCTTGGGAAGCAGTTTCAGATAAATCTTCATGGGCATTGCTGGATTGATGGTTGCTTTAAGCCCATAGGGGCTCCCTTTCCGAATTGTGCAGACAAGTGGGTTCTGAATGAGGCATTCTGTGCCTATTAATGTATGTGAAATCCAAGCAAAAGTATTGGGGAAGTTTAGAAAGGAGAATTAGCCAACACAGGCTACAGTTGATATTTAAATGATCCATTTAAAACAAGCTGATAGTGTTTTGTTAAGCAGTACATCTTGTGCATGCAAAAAATGAATTCACCCCTCCCACCTCTTTCTTCAGCTAATGGAAAACTGTTAAGGGAAGCTGATTACAGAGACCTCTCTCCTTTCCATCAGCTTCTTAATGAACTGTTTAACGTGAGGTTTCAGTAGCGCCTTGTTTTGCCTCTTTAAATTATGATGTGCACAAACCTTCTTTTTCAATGCAATGCATCTAAAGTTTTGATACCTGTAACTTTTTTTTTTTTTTTTTGGTTGCGATTGTTTTAAGAATCATGGATTTATTTTTTGTAACTCTTTGGCTATTGTCCTGTGTATCCTGACAGCACCATGTGTCAGCCCATGTCAATCAAGATGGGTGATTATGAAATGCCAGACTTCTAAATTAAATGTTTTGGAATTCAATGGGTAAATAAATGCTGCTTTGGGGATATTCTTGTCTACATATGTGTTTTTCATTTTTCCCCTTCTGAAGGAGCTATTTAATAGGTTACCATTTTGAATTCTGGTTTTAGTCTCTCAACCACTGAAGCATTTTTAAAAACAGGTTTTTTTTTGTTTGTTTTTTTAAGTTTATTTATTTTGAGAGAGGGAGAGACAGAATCCAAAGCAGAATCCAGTTCAGGGCTGGAATTCAGATGAAGAGTTGGACCCCACCCAGGTGCCCCTAACACAGTAAGTTTCTCGCTCTCTGATTCCATTATAACATTTTGCAGTATACACATAAGACTCATGAATTTTAAATTGTTTTCTGTGAACCTAGTCAGCATAGTCTCTCTGACCCACTCTTCCTGACACCGAGTGGTTGTATGGGAGTTGAGCAGACCAAGATGCTGTCTTCCTCAGTGTAGCACCTGACCACTGAAAGGTCAGGCCTGTGTTTAACCTGGGAGGGTGTAGCTTGACCTACCCGACTGGAGTGTTGGTTGATATTTAACCAAAGTAGATAATGAGCTTATACCTGTCCTCAAATTTTCTGAATACCCTTACTGTATTAGATATAATAAAATGTTAATTCAGGGCACAACCTGGATCCCTGAAATAATCTAGTGATTATTACTAAGAAAGCTTTGAGTATTCTTTAAAATAGAAAAACAAAACGAAAACCCTCTGAGTTTAAAGAAGGAAAAGGCCAGACCCCTTAAGCTATTTCATCTGCCTTCACCCCAAGGCTTCTCTTGAGGCTTAGCATCCCCAGCTACACTCATTCTCTGGTGATGTGGACTTGAGCCCCTCACAGGTTTTACCACCTGCAGCTTGGTGTCCAGGACTCAAAGTGCTTGTTAAGTGGATTGGTTCAGTAACACATAGGTCTTAGGATACCTTAATCCTGACTAAGCTTGACACTAGACTGGTGAGAAATGCCATCACCCAGTCTCTGTCCTTGAACTTCCGTTTTGGTGGAGGCACAGACCTTTTTAGCTTGGAAGTTTAACCTGTTTTCTCATTCTGAAGTAGAGGTATGACCCTTGTGCTCCTAAAATACTGTTGCAGGTTGACCTAATTGCTAGCTAAAGTGGTTATTGACTTTCACTTCAGTTAGTAAGTCAGGTATCTTAAAGTAACCAGCTTTATGTGGCCAAGACACTTGGCTTGGTAAACATGTAGACATTAGAACTTTATAAATTTGAAATGCCCTTTACAGGAAGAGCTTTAGGAAAAGTCATTTTCATTGCATAGCTGGCTTATGAAGGGTTTTGTCCCCACCTTGCAAATGAGGAAACCAATGAGGTTGTGGACCTGGGGTTCACACAGCTGTTAAGTCCCAGAGGACAGCCTGTCTACAGCTTCTAATCCATGCAGAGTTCTAACTGCCCTCTCTTGGGGTCTGGCAGTGCCATGCTCCAGGCAGCCTTGCCAAGCCACGTAACTTTTTGAGACTTAGCGTCTCTCAGTTTTTATTAAGTGTAGGATTTGTATTTTCATTCAACTCAAAGTACTCTGTGTAAGGCATCTTTGGTCTGGGAATGGAGAATGGGGATGCAAAGACACACATAATTAAGTTTTAGCCCCATAAGTGGTTAGTGGGATTCTTTGAGAGCACCTCAGGGAGCTACAAATTACATGTGCCATAGACCTGGAAGTCTTCTCTACTGCATAATCTTAAAGCTTACTTTCCAGTTCTGTACACTCATGTTTTAAAATTTGTCAAGATAAGCTTATGAAATGACAGGGTCATCTCAATGTTACAGCAGGGGAAACTAAAGTTCAGGGAAATGAGATGGCTTTTCCAGAGTTACTGGAAAATTGGTAACAGAACCTAGGCTAGCATTCAGATTCTTTAAATTTTTGTTCATGGTTCTTTACACTACTATGCTCTTGGGATTGAGAAGAAAAAAATGGATATGGCACACATCCCATTCTGGGGACACCTTCAGTGCTTTTAATATTTTCACTTAGAGTTGAAGGGATTATACTTGGATGTTTAAATTTATTGGTGCTTGCTGCAGATTTTCAGTAACTCCTCAAACTGCTCAAAAATCATTTGTTTCAGTTGGTGGAAAGGGTATAGGATTCTTTTTTTCAAGTTTTTATTTTAATCATCTAGTGCTTATTGTGACAAGTGCCCTCCTTAATCCCCATCATCGATTTCACCCATCCCCACCACCCACCTCCCCAACTGGTAATCATCAGTTTGTTCTCTGTAGTTAACAGTCTGTTTCTTGGTTTGTCTTTCTCCCTTTGCTTGTTTGTTTTGTTTCTTAGATGTCACATATGAGTGAAATCATACAGTATTGGTCTTTCTCTGACTGACTACACTTAGCATTATAATCTCTAGCTCCATCCATGCCATTGCAAATGCTAAGATTTCATTTTTTATGGATGAATAATATTCCACTATATATATAAACCACATTTTCTTTATCCATTCATCAATTGGACACTTAGGCTGCTTCCGGGCTCTTGGTAATGGAGCTATTGTCGGGTAAATACTTGGCTGTCTTAAATCTCTTCAGACTGGGGAGTTCGGGATGCCTCTTGGCTTATAAAATGAACTAGGCTGCATTCCGAATGTTGGGCCCTCCACACCCCCTATACGTCCTTACAGACTTCTTGCCATTCAAGAGACCAAGAGTGTACTCAGTTCTCGGGAGACCCTCCATCAGGGAAGCATAAAAATGGATTCACAGCTGGCTGGGACTTAACATCATCTTCTATTATAAAGCCCAGTAATTAGACTGATGAAAACAACCATTTCAAATATCTACTTTGTTCGCACTTCAGATGTGTGGTCTCTGGATCTTTACAGCATCCCTGGAAGGTAGGAATGATAGTCTTTTTGACAGATGAGAAAACCAGGTTATCAAGTGGTATGAGGTACACAGCTAGTAAGAGTAATAACACAGATCAAAACTGGGGCAGTCCTCCAAGGCTCTTTCCAGTACACCATGGGTTTTTTGATCCCTATCTGGAGAAAAGGAGTCCCAGAAAAGTTACAATAGTTTGCCTCCCTGCCTCTCTGATCTCTCTTCTTCCTTATTCAATCTATCCAACGTCCCACCCAAATCAAGGCCTAATGAAATACTGTCTCATCTGAAACCTCTGATCTGTCTGGGAAGCCTCCTGCCTGGTGACTTTGGGTCAGACTTTGCATTATTATTCTAAATTTTTAAAAACATTTTTATTTATTGGGAATGCAAGCTGGTGCAGCCACTCTGGAAAACGTATGGAGGTTCCTCAAAAAACTGAAAATAGAACTACCC